GAGAACCAAGAGACAACACTTACAATGTATGGGGCATCGTGGAAGAAATGCGCGAGCGCACGCGAACGTATAAATACGGCTCAAGCAGCAAAAGGTCCCGCGCCACGCACAACAGACGCTTTTATACCGCGACATGGAAACCCGCGAGTCACATGACTAAAACATAATGTAAACGAGCCGAACCGCAGCCAAGCTGAACAGCTTAAATACCGCGCAAAACAAGAACTGAACAGTGCTAGAAATACTACAGTATGACATGCTTAACAGAAATGTTGAGAAGAAATAACACTCCCCACCTTGAACTACGTTCAACAAAGTAAACTTAGGAAGAGCCCTTTAGTAGCACGATCTTTGAGATTAGGCGGACGATACGCGTCGCCTTGGCTCTCACTTTGGCTGATCTGACGAGACCGCCTCTGCCCTTATTCACTTCTATCACGAGGCCAAGCGGCCATAGTCCTCTTGGGGTGTTTTCGTTCACCACCAGCACTAAATCACCTAGCTTGATGTTCCTGCTTTGCACAATCCACTTGCTACTACGCTGCATCTCTGGCAGGTATTCTTTCACCCACTTGCGCCAGAACTGATCCGCGAGATGCTGTACGTGACGCCAACGCCTAGGATACATGCCACTGGATCCGAACTTACCGGGGGGTAACGTAGCGCCATCTCGTAGCAATAAAAGATGGTTAGGCGTAAGCGCTCTCGAATCACCTTACATCATCGCTGCTCTTGGTGATAGGCCGGCTGTTGATAATGTTTTCTACTTCGCAGAACAGCGTCTCCAGCACTTCGTCCGTCAGTCTGTGATTCCCGCGCAGCAAGGCATTGAGCACCTTCCTGATGGAACGAATCATACGTTCCCAAATGCCACCCATATGCGATGCATGTGAAGAATTAAAAAACCCACACGATATCCTTTCTCGCACAGTGCGAGTAAATCATGTCCTTATTTAGTTGGCTCATGCTTCTTGAAAGCTCAGCTTGACCGCCAGTAAAGTTTGCCCGTTGTCAGACCAAACCTTTTTGGGCTGACCTCTTCTCGACATGAACCTTCTAAATCCGTGAAGGAACGCGTCAGTTTCCAAGCTGTTTAACTTCTCTATGTGCACGGCACATGTGGTGAGGTATGTGAACACACATCCATATCTCTTTACCTCTGATCTGCCCAGCTTCACGTAGAAAGGTCCGAAACAATCTAATCCTACGTAAGTAAACGGTGGCTTGCTTTATTCTAGCCTCTCAGGAGGTAAATCAGCCATCTTCTGTTGACAAGGCGATGCATAAAGACTTCGGCATGTCCAACACGTCCTGGACACTTTCTTGATGACTGATCTCCCCTTTGTGATCCAAAACTTACCTCTCACATTCCCCAGTACCCACTCTGTACCTAGGTGAGCTATATCATGTATATCCTTCACGATAAGCATTGCTAATTGGTGATTGTGAGTAATTCTATATTTTCTTATTTTACATTCTATATCTATGCCTGCATGTTTGAGCCTCCCACCTACACGAAGCAGCCCGTCCGAACTCAGCACAGGCGTTAGCTTCCTCAGCGAACTCGACCTGTTCAGTGTATCATCTCTCATGGTTTGGGTTAATTCCTTTTCGTAGCGTTGCATCTGCATGTGCTTCACTATAATTCGCTCTGCTGAACCCATTTCATCAACCCATAAGCGATCACCGTATTCAGCTTGACCTTCGCTCTCTAGCTTATCCTTTATCACCCAAGCCTTCTGCTCCAACAGCAACTTTAGCTCTTCTTGTTTTTGTCGTTCCATGGCCTCTAGCTTCGCTGCTTGCTCGGATGCGCCTAACAAAGGTGTCACTACGCACGACTGAAATTTTACGTTTATAATCATAGCAACAGACCTCAGATGAGCCCAGACGCTCTGTGGCTCTTGTTTATTCATAGCATCAAGAGCGTACATGGAAGGAGAGCGTACAACGGTGAAATGCTGAAACCATGTTGCAGTATTAGTCGAATTAAGAAACTTTGCCCGTTTTATTTTGACGATTCTTTGCGGTATTATTGATCAGAGCTCTGTCCTACCTTGCTGATATAAAACAAACCGCTTGTCCTTACGATGCCCCTACGCTGAGATAATGAGCGGTGAAAATCTGGTATTTTTGCCGAAAACCGACTCGAGATCCCTGTTTACTGCGACCCTCTCTCGTTTTGTGGCCAGTGTGTTGCTTCCGGTTGCCGCTGTGTAGCGCCATGGTAGCGCTGACTTATTACGTCAGTACTACAGAGTTTACTACATCCAGCGTGAGGTGGGCACAGGCAAGGAGCTACATATAACAAGGAGAGGAAGCGGATTGGATGTGTGCTTTTCGCCTCAAGGACGCCATCTATGGACCATAATCAGCTGAAACGGCTGTGCAGATCCGTCCCCCAGAGACAATAGAACACTAATCTGTTCTGGACCAATATGACCAAATATGGCAAATATTTGGGCCAGTTATGGCGGCGCTTCCTCTCCTTGTTATATTTAGCTCCTTGGGCACAGGTGGGGGTCATCACTATGGCAATCAATAACAGACGTCAATTTTTGGCAATCATTGACGGAAACACGAGAGGTTTCCCGAAGTTATCTCAAAGCGAGAGAGAGTCGCAGTCAGCAGGTATATAATATATATATATATATACAATCAGGGCATAAAATTCAGATTTTTTTTGCACCGGCCCAGAGGGCAGGTAACAGCAGTTTTTTACCAGCCCTCACCATAATTTATGAGCCCTCACAGAAAAATAAAGATAAGACTGTTTCACTGATTTGCTTGTCCGAACAAGTAATGTTCTAGTGTGCGGCATTGCCTTGTACATAGCTGTTGAACAGACTATAAATGCAGATCGTGAATGATGCCAGATGTGTTTTTGTCAATGTCATGTTTCATGCTTACATTCTCGATTTTAAATTTGTAAAATGTTGATAAATTATGGCGTGATATCCTTCAGGTAAAACAGTTATTAATGTAGGCTATTTGCTCATTAATGCTATAAATAAAAATGTAGGTACTCGCTAACATGGCTGAAACGACCCTCTCGGAGGGCAGGTGTTTTGCCAAATAATTTGCCAGCATATATATATCATATGCTGGTGGGCCTGTGCTAATTTTGCACCCTGACAATACAGGATTTCCCCCAAGAATTTCAAAATGCATGTTGGACAATTGGGCAATAATGAGTATTGGGTAATGCTTCGGTCAAAGCTGCGTAAACGGGCAAAACTGTTTTACGTTCGATGCTCTATAAAAAGTAAATTGAGAGTGCAAGATGTAGACCTGTACAATGCTACTAATACTATATTTTTTATTGAGTTGCAAAATAAAGTCTAAGTAAAGTAATGCATACAAACCTTAAATTTTAATATTTACGGTAAGTCCTAAGTACTCCTCTCTATTCATGTACGCAGAATATCATGAAACTTATCTATCGTACATGTAAATTTTTCAGAAGGCGACAAGAGCGTGAGAAAATTGGGTTGATGGGTGTACCAGAAGTATGGTCAGTGACTCCAGAAAGGCAACCAACTGAGTAAGCACTTACATATCGAGTTGATCACTAAACTCCGTAATCCGTAAAATATCCGTGATCCGTGATCACTAAAATCCGTATGTACTCATATTGTACATGTATAATGGGAATATATATATATATATGCATGTCATAATAGTTATTCATACATGTATGTATAATTAATAAGTGATGGAAAAATTCTTCAATAGTGCAAATGTTTCTTGAACTATTGAATCTTTTTCTATGTCTATGATTTCTCCGTGACCTATGATTTCTTCTATGATTTCTCAATCAGCTCTGATGATGAAATTGAAGACGACATGAAGGCGACCATCAAGCGTGAGAAAAATGGTCACTTCCATGGTGGCAGTTCTGAAGGTAATGAATCGCACTGGTCAGTGGCGGATCTAGAGGGGGGTTGCAACTCCCCCCCCCCCCCGTTCAGCCACTGACTAATGTTATCAGGAGTGAATAATAATAGATTATTAATAGAGTATTAATATAGATAATCTATTATTATTCACTTCTGATGTTATGATACCAGTAATAATATGGGGCCACTCTAGTACCGCTTGGCTTCGGCACGCCTTCACTCAAATATCGACCCCCCCCCCCTCTCCCGCCCAGCCAGGTCCGGCCCTGCTGGTTGGTGTTTTACTCCATTTCAAAATGTAGTTATGTTTGTTAAAATAAACGAAACCTTTATGTGACATATTGGTGAACTATTTCATTAGGAAACCAATGTTATATGCCAAATGTAGGTGAAATATTTCCTTATGACACCACTGTTAAATATGCCACATGTAGGCAGTGTTTGAAATTTACAGTTCTCCGTTAGTCCAAAACTGCCAGATTTACTCGTGGATGAGTGGATTGAGGATATCAGAGTCAACCTGGCACTGTCAGTTATTGACTATCATAGACGAAAAATTATTATATATACCACCAATTGTCGTTCTTCTCACCATCAATGACATTTGCCTTTTACATGTGACATGTGTCAACTTAGTAATACTAACAATATAATCCAAAAAAATATTCTTCACGTGTGTAGGTAATTGTTAAATTAATTGCAAACAATTTTTTGCCAGAAGTGTTAGCTGTTCATGCAATGTTAGCATTGTGGTAGTTGTGCGATGTTGATACCTCAGTGTGAGTAGACATATAGTTATATTATTTATAGAAATGATTTTAAACTGGATATTTTTCACTTATCCACGTACATTTGTATTTTCTTCCATCTCTACTCCTAGTATTCCTTTGTCCCTAGGTATGATTAATTAAGTACCGCAACAATGCACACTAAATGGTAACTACATCGTGTCAGTCCACAATGTGAGACAGTGTTTTTTATATAAATAATACTGGCAACATTTACAACAAAATTTATCAGTGCTAGCTTATGGTATTTATGTAACGGGTCATTATGCAATGCCTTGAAATTTACTATAATATTAATAACTGCTATTTGAAAACTGTATTGCATCCTACTTCAGATATTAAAAAAAGTAAAACAAGGAAGCATAAGAAAAAGAGCCAGAAGAAGCAGAAAAAAAAGAAAAAGTCCAAAAACAATAAAAGCAAAGTTGAAAGCACGATTGCAAGTGAGGAGAGGAGCAGTGACGACAGATCTGACAGTGAGAGTGCTGAAGAGGACATGTGGGTAGAGAAGACTAGTAAGTAAAGATAGCAACGCTGAGAGGGTCTATGTTCCCCAGGGTACTGCCGGAACGTATCCTGGGTACGGTCCGGTATACCTGAACGTACCCTGGTACAATCTAATATGCCGGACCGTACCTCATCTACTCCACTAACGAGTCTAGGGAGTCGCCTTCGCCTACTCCCTAACCCGAACCCTAACCCTAACCATATCAGATAGTTACCAGGGTACGTTCCGGTATACCGGACTGTACCCAGGGTACGTTCCGGCAGTATCCTGGGGGACATAGACCCTATGAGCGATAGTAACCTAAATGTAGATGTTGTATGATCTATAAGAAACGTGTCCCTGTTAAAAGTTGATAAGCCCTTCCTCCTTTCTGATACATGTCACCTGGTCATTTCTTCTTCCCTTACTATGATTATCTCTCCCCTCTAGTCCTTTACTTACATATATATATGTGAATTCGAGAGGCATCCTAAATGGCTATACCTGGAATTCTGAGGAAAGCCTTGGTAGTCCTGGACGAACTTGAACGTCAGGGGCCCGTTGTCAGAAACTTCGTGAAGTTACGATTAATTCTAAGACTAATGTTAATGTTAAGAGAAAAGTTAATAGCGTTGACAGAAACCTATCGTAACTGAACTTACTTAAGTAAAAACTTACGATAACAGGAACTTCATCACAAGGCTGCTGATGGGATGAGAATCGATCACGAAATTCAAATGCATACGCATTTATTGTACATCACAGTAATTTATGCATATTATAATGGCTAACCACATATAAATAATATTTGATGAAAAACGACACGGTCTTGAATTTATTCTGCACAACAAGACAAATTCTCGCACTGTAACACGAGACGCGAGAGTCGTGGCAAGCGTGGCATTCCTTTAAAACAAGAGAACAAATGCCATATTCCATTTGTAAATGTATTGTTTTGTATTATTAGCGGTAGATAATTAATCATTTTTACGTGTTTTTCAAGAAAAACATACATTTAATTCATTATTATAAAATATAATATTACTATAATTGTAATTCGTTGTGTGAATGTGTTATTTTCAACTTCATATTAAAGTTAAGGGAGGGTCTATAAGATCTCTTAAGTTAAGAGAAAAGTTACGAGAATTTTTAATTCTCTTAACTTTACGAAGTTTCTGTCAACGCTCTAAGAGAAAAAGTTAATGTTAAGGTTCATGTTAAGACTAATTTGATTCTGACAACGGGCCCCAGGTCACTAGAGTATATATATTATGTATAACCTTGTTTTACATAACCCATACTAATAATGTTTTTGGGTGTCGTTGACTGCTCTGCATGGGAACAATTGTTCCGCCCAGCAGTTAGAGCTAACAGCTGTTCTCAAAGTTATTTATTAGCTCATCTGACATAGTCAAAAAGTCAAAGGTCAAAGGTCAAAAGGTGTAAAAGAAGGAACATTTAACTTTTAACCCCTTAACTTAAGGTATAGGGAGGAAATGCAGAATTGCGGCACAAATCTAAACGGCTCGACCTAGGCTTGTGATAGTCGGTGTATAGCATCAT